CTTTTAGGGACGGAAGATTATATACTTTCCCCTACGGTATACACATAAGAATGCCATCCCCCCCTTACAATATCAGGAATCAATTACCTTATATTACAATATACACGTTATACATGCGGTCACAATCCACCTAATTGCTTCTTTACAGTGTCTGATTCTAGCTCAGAAACCTGAACCACTTTTGTTCTGATCCATGTGTAATGAAACACGAAAAATATTAAAAAAAATAAAAAATATTTAGCTGTTTTGACATATCACTCGTAAAATCCCTTAATCCACAAGCTTGCGACAGTGACATATTTAGCTTGAAACAGTTAAAAGCATTACATGTTGTTACTACGTATACACACTTTTAAAAGAAAAAAAGCACAATATTTTATTGAAGCAGATCAAGTACAAATCCATTGTAGCGCAGAATTCGTTAAAAACACACAAAACTTACAAAGTGTATTGACCAAACAAATCTTGGCGGAGTATTTCAAAGTTTACGACTAGCAGCATCATTTCTAAAAGGGAAGTTTGCGAACTATACACACACACACACACACTTGCATTTATATCAGAGGTATTGATCAAAATATCCCTTTTCAAAACATAGAAAACTCAGGGCCACAGTTTCATGATTATTCATTATAGCTTAAGGTTTTACAAAGAAAAACATAAACTGATATTAGGAAATCTTCCATGGAAACTATGGCCAGCACTTGATTATTCGTAAACAATAAAATGATAATAAAAACATTAAGTTTTCAACAACAAACGATATCAACGACACACAAATAGACCTTTGGGGCATGCGGAGTGTCCTTCTCTGAAATACCTTCTTTTTATGCGATACCATTCTGTTTTACCCGAACACTAACGCATTGTGTTCCTGTCTCATAGCAACATGTTTTCATCCATGAATTCGATGACGACTTGACTAGGTAAAGAGTTATAAAGATTTTGACATATTTTACAATTTGCAGATTATGCATGCATTTATGATTCTTGAAACAGCATATTGTACTTACATTCAGAAAACAGGATATCATACAAATATTTCTTAAGCGTCAATATATTTAGACAATGAAACAAAGAGGTCTGATGATGAGGGCTTCAAGGAAGCATTGGCATCCTATTTTATCACTTGCTAGAACAAGTGTCTGAGTATATCATAGGCAAGACACAAGTTACAAATATATATTCATAAAACGAGCATAACTTAAACAGATATAAATGAGATCCAATCAACGAAAAATAAATAACGGACGAAATACATAACATATATCTACTGAATAACAACACGATAGAGATTACCCAAAAACTATCAATTTCAAATAGGATAAAAATATTGATAGGAATATTTAAAGCAAATATATTCTCACCACCACAATATAGCTAAACATGACAACGACTGATTATACATACAGACAGATATAACATAATACTGCCCTATCATACCTACAAACAAACCTAGTACGGAACATAATGACGAAGTATTGTACATACAAACAGAGCATAATACTGCCCTATCATACCTACAAACAAACCTAGTACAGAACATAATGACGAAGTATTGTACATACAAACAGAGCATAATACTGCCCTATCATACCTACAAACAAACCTAGTACAGAACATAATGACGAAGTATTGTACATACAAACAGAGCATAATACTGCCCTATCATACCTACAAACAAACCTAGTACAGAACATAATGACGAAGTATTGTACATACAAACAGAGCATAATACTGCCCTATCATACCTACAAACAAACCTAGTACAGAACATAATGACGAAGTATTGTACATACAAACAGAGCATAATACTGCCCTATCATACCTACAAAGAAACCTAGTACAGAACATAATAACGAAGAACTGTTCATAAAAACATATATATATATATGTAACAGAACAAATCGACTTATTATCAAATAAAAAAGAATATATAACAAGAGCGAAGAAATGCCCTACTTCCCAGACTTTGTAATGAACACACAGGATCACACGTCGCAAAAAAGAGACACATTTTGATTTAGTGTAGTTTACAAGTAAAACTAGAGTACAGTCATCAAATAAGATGTCAGTTTTTGAAACAAAATCATCTCTGAAAAGAAAGTTATAATCATTGAGGTACAATTGTAGCATATACCAAAATTTGTTAATATTATTGTGTTTCTAATATAAACTCAATTGATATCATTAAATAAGTCTATACCACAATATGTTGATACCATTAAACTCAATTGATATCATTTAAGTAGTCTATACCACAATTTGTCGATAACAGTGTATTTATAGATCACCTGTTACTATTTCAGTAGACTATACCACAATATGTTGATATCGATGCATGTATAAAATAGACAGAGCTGTTGTAACTCAAATTGGCTACACCACACCACAATGTATTTATATAGTAAGTACGTATCCGTGGTATCATTTCAGTAGTCTTTACCACATCATGTTGATACAATGTATTTATATAGTAAGTACGTATCCGTGTTATCATTTCAGTAGTATTTACCACAGTATACTGATACAATGTATTTATATAGTAAGTACGTATCCGTGGTATCATTTCAGTAGTCTTTACCACAGTATACTGATACAATGTATTTATATAGTAAGTA